CACATTGATAAGTTATGTGAGGCCACAAGACACACTTGACCTACGGTCAAGAATGATTTTTACTGAGGTACTTAATAAGAGCAAAATAGTTACCTCAGTAAACTCATTCCTGACAGGAAGCTAATTGTTTCAAGAGGTCATTTCTCAACCGAAGTAGTAGTATTAAAAGTCGACGTCCGACAGCCCATTTATATTTGGAATCCTCGGAGAGGCCGAGCAATTATTGTGCGTAAGCCTACACTTGGCCGCTTAGTGACAGAGAATACCATGCAAAATATTGGTTATCACGTTGGCAATGACATGTCGTTCCCACTTCCATATCAAAGGTATATAAAAGAAATCAGAACGACATTTCGATTGGCCGCGGGATGCTACACGAAGCGATATGGAATTCCTTCTGGATATAGAACTGGATAGAGTCGCATCCAAATCTTGCCTTGAAGAATCGTAATGAAGCCAGTACGTAGAATGACTCATCTGATTATGATTTATTTTTATTTTGTTTTGAGAATGGTGACTCATTCACCACAATCTGATCAAGAGACCATTACTTTGCCTTCGCCCCAATTATTGTTAATACTAACATCAATATGCTCGTCGGAGGTTTACAATATACGATTGCTATCGCAATATAGATCTTGCGACCACCAGCAAATTGATGGTAGAAGTCCTGGTCCAACTCCGAAGCACACTAAAGTCCTCATCCACACAAAGTTATTCTACGAGGGGCGCGAGTAAGCTCAAGCGTGTCGATCGACATAACAAGCTAGTGCGCCTTAATGTCTTGTATGTCGACACGTTGTTGGTCGGGGTCGCTGTGGTCAGCGGAGATGTAACCCGGCGATCTGTCTGGCCACCGACGACGCGCTTTAGCGCTTGCCACTATAGTGGTTTGATGTGTGAAATAGCTGAATGACTCAACGATTTCGCTGGAGGCGACGTTAGGACGAAAAATACAGGAGTTCGCACGTACACTGCATCGCAAATATAGTTTTCATTAATGCATATAGCTACTCGTATGTCTAGCATACATCGCTAGTCTCTTTATTGCTCTATTTATGTACGTTTTATTATGATATATGACGCATTTGTATGATGTTCCTTTCATTTGTATAACAGACTTTTCTTTACTAAAAATTGGTTTAAACTCTATTCAGTACTGTACTTTTATAGTATCGTTCAATTTCGTGTGACAGTAAGACCTATCTTAAGATATGATTTTGATGTCTTCTGATTCCATATTCCGTATAAAATATAGAATTAGAATATGGGTCCAAAGAATGTAAGATTCAAGCTACACGCTTGTACCTATGTAAACGTAGCACGTCCGTGGTGTCTATTTATTGCCTGTCAAACCGCAAAAGACTTACAAAATAATAACATTATTGGATACATATTTTATAAATTAGATAATTTCAGAGAAGAAAAGGATAACCGGCCCCCAGGTTTTCGTTAACCACCTCCAAATATTACCGTAGTTTATATACCTTCCATCTTTATGCGCGCCACGGCTTGCGCCCCCATCTGAATCAACATGACCATCAATATGAGTAAGATTCATCACTGCATCCGTGAGTGGAAAAGTACTCGACAAGAACCTTGTTGATGGCGGTCTTCAACGACTAAGCAGATGTTTACATAAAAACAGCGTTCGTGCTACAAGCGACGGAGATCGTGGCGCTCAGTGATCCATCCTCGTTGATGCCGGTTATCACTGCTGTCATGTTGATCGGCTTGGACCATCCACTTAACGGCATTGTGCACAACGACGAGGAGGAGTGGGTGTCAATACTGCGGTCGATCTTCATTTGAATCGAAACGAAGTCAATTGTAGTGCCCAGCGGATGCAGACTGCCTATTCGGGGAAACACTATCGAGGAAATCTCAGTCTGGATCTTGTCAGACGCCACGTCGAGCCACCACCATCATTAAATTACACGTTAGTCTGGTTAGTCAATTGAACAGGTATTACGACGATTGATATGCCTCTTGATAGACCTCTGCGGCTGGCTTGAACTTAATTCTGAATATGGGATTGTTGGATGCCTTTGTCACAATGTCCATGCAGAATAATCGCTACAATCCCAACCTGTTCCATAATCGCACTTATGAAAGTCTCATTTGACCGAGCCATTACTCAGTCAAATGAAGTAGCTGAATAATAAATTACCACACGTCGCCGACTTAAGGACATGCATAGATTGTTCAGATGTAGTATTTTATCATTTGTAAATGAGATTGTAAATTACTTTTGAGACCAGAAATATTTTTGGTCTTACCAATCAGAAGGCGTGAATCGAGTAAATTACGGTAATATATAGGGGTGGGGGTGATTAACGAAAAACTGGGGGGGGTTTGTTGATGTTTCCAATTCAGAAAAACCGGACTGACATCGTTTATGAGAGATGTATCGAACAAAGTGCGCTCAAAAGTATAATTTTGATCGACCACAAGACAATTTCGTATGAGTGTCCTGCTTCGTTATGCCTATTAAAATATGCAATGATATATCTAGAAGTGCGTGTGACGACAGTGGAGATTCTATCATTGTCTACATGTAAAAAAGGCGTCGTCTAGAGGATCAATGTATTGAGCGTATTTTCGGGTTGTCGCGCAAAAATTGGTCTACGAGACCCATGACTTTGCAGCTGGTAGTGATCAATACAAATTACACCATCCTTCATGCTAGACCGTTTGGCTTAACTAAAATACTCCCACTTTCGCCTGCATTGAGACTCACTTTTTATAAATTTTTATGCACTCACTCGCATTTGAATAAACTTTCTTCCAAAAAAAGATGGCTTTTGGCTTGACAAAAAATAACCTTCATTTATTGATTCGCATGTGCTATGTCATTTATTGTGATGCTCTTCCTCGTGCTTCGATATCCAGGATTAGAGCCGTTCTGCGTTATTATGTATACGTATCGTAATACTAGAATGAAGTATGCGCAAGGTGCCGTCAGTCGCATGCATGATGACGTTGTCCACGAACCTTTAATTTGTACTATAAAGAACAAAGCTCGGGTTTCAAACCTTCGGGCATGTGCCAAGCCCGTAATGGATCCTACAGGTAAGTCGCCTCGTCAGCAGGCTAAAGATCCAATACATCGATGTCATTATTGTCCACATGTTGAGTTTTATGCAAAAACGAGATTTCATTTTTGTAGCTAAGATCCTCTTTTGAATTGAGACAAATTACATGCACATGTGTATGCCATCTTAAAAGTTCGACACGTCTACAACTTTGCTAGGTATTTGAAATCTTAGTGTGCAGGACCCCTTTGCTTATCGAAAAAACACTGGTTACTTTGCAGAAAGCGCGCATAGATCAATCAGTGTGATAAGGAGATGTGTAGAGGGTCTGTAGCAAGGGCTAGCTTATACATTGCGAGACTCACTCGACTCGGCAACAAGATTCGGATTACAAATAGAGTCCTAGTTGCACGCTGCCAATCTTCCTTTCATTGGCGAAATGTGGTTCTATTCATGTCGCCATCATTCGTTTGAATGTGACGGACGAACGTGTCCGACACAAAGCCAATCAGTGTTTTCTTACCGACGATCAGAGGTATGATAGAGACTCTGTTCGGTCTGATGGGACAGCAATGAACATGGCTGTGGACCACTGCGACTGACTGTGCAATTGTACGTGCCCTGCTCACCGCGTCAAGCAGCAATTAAGCTACAAGCATCAAGTTATCACGAGATCTCCCTCTTCCTAAGTGCAAACGCACGTATTTGGATGCGCAGTTTTCATACACCTGTGCCGCGTCATCACAAAAAGTGGAGGCGAAAACGACTCATTTTCAATATGTGCGTGCGTGTGTATTCTGCTACATTTGACAATGGACGCGCTTTGGCCCAGCTAGCTGTGTTCAGGAATCCAGATATGTCAATAGAATAGGTATGTTGCTGTTCATTCATACCATTTTCGTACGTCGTCGATACATTCCACTGCGTTCTGACTCCTTGTAGATCTCACCTTATCAGAGTGACGACGACTGACGTTACAGCTTCATTCTGGTAGATCGACGCGGACTCCGTACACGCGAAGAAATCGAATCCTGGATTCGTTGGCAGCTGGCTGCAGCGATAGCTCACGCTTGGGTTCTGCCACGTAAGTAACGGTGACATTGACGTTGACGCACTTTCACTCGGTCATTGCTGCACTTGCGAATAGCATCGTACAGAATGGCAATCACAACGATCTTATTGCAGAACAAAGTGTGAAGCAGGCGGAGGCGACCATGTAAAATCTTTATTTCCCCACCGTCACTTCTCGCACCGTATGTGTACCGTCGTGGCAGTGTAGCAGCTTTCATACTCGCGTCGACTCGGTTGTCAGAATTACAGACTGACCACGCACCGCAAAGGTTCCTCGAGGGTTGTTTCGAGCTTCGCGACACAATCCATTCCAAGCGGCTAACTCTCTTTGGCACAGAATAGCACTGGGAAGCGGAAAATGCAGTCGCCACATTTGTGGACGAGCTTTTGTGGAAGACGATGACAGCCATGACTACGACTCGACCAGTCATGGTCGCTCACGGAAGCGTACGGTTATGCAATGGGTGTCGGCATTTTGGTTTGCTACGAGCCGGACACCCAAAGGACTTGCGATAATGAAAACATTGTACGGTTGGCTGGCAAGCTGTCGGTTGGCAATGTGACATGCATGCACAAAGCAGCTCGATACACTCCGTCAAACAGCCGTTGCACAGCGACGCGGAAGCAAAGACCGAATTCGTTGTTTCTGGACGTCGTTTATTCTGACGCGTTGCGTGTTGGCAGTCCCAAAGGCACAAAAAGGATTGCAGATACGCATTGATCGAGTCTGCGGAACCGGTAAAGGCATCACACTGCAACCACAAGCAGGCTATATGGAAGAAGCGGCGTCTAGTGACACACAGGCCAGCTGGATCCCAGCGCTCGTTCACACCAAAGGACTTGCTCCAGCATGACTGAATTCCTTTCGATGCGTATCCTGCGTGGAACCTCAATCTACGGAGTCGGGAACAGCATCTTGCGCACCGTAGGCTTCAAATCGTAGTACACCTGGTTCAAGCGCGTGTCCAGTGTGTTGTCGCACACAATTTTGCCCTGCTTTGCATACAACACGACGCCCCCAGCTTTGGCGTCCGACACCATGCCGTCAGCAGCCTTGTTGAGTGTCACCTTGACGTTGCTCACATCCTGGTTGGCCTCCTTCTCCACAATATCAATGTACTTTGCCGTGGCATCTTGCAGTACCGTCTCTGCAGCATGCACGTCCTTAGTGCGCACAGCTACCACCACCTCCGTCTCGAACAGCTTGATCAGGCCTTGCACGATGAGCTCGCGCAGCAGCTCCTTGTTCTTGTCGTCTGAGGTCGTATAACCCTTCAGCTGATCTTGGCCCTCCACAATGAGTGTCTTCAGCAGCTCGTCACGAGCTATCATCTTTTGTCGTCGCGAGGCGCCGATCTCGGCCGAGCGGGCACTGCATAACACCAGCAACACGAGCAGGATCCACCCATCACTACTATTTGTTCACTGCTTTTCGAGGCAAAACAAAGCACGAGGCCACTCACATGCGCTTGTTCACTTCGCGCTCCTTCTCTTTGCGTTTGTACTCTTCTTGGATCTTGAGTTTGGCATTGTGCACCAGCAGCTGCTTCTCCAGATTAAAGTCGTGCTCCGTCTACCACCACATCACAACAGTCAAGAGCCGCCGAGTCGGCCACACACAGTCAGTACGTCAAACGCTTTCTCCCTTTATGACCGCTTCCACCGCCTCTACAATAGTTCCCGAGTTCCAACTGTGCCGTCTTTTTGTCCAGAGACGCTCGAGATGACACGCTTTCCACTACACTTTCGACAGCTCCAAGTCTTCTTCTGCTGAACATCGTACTAGTAGTAGAGGCGGTAGTAGTAGTAGTAGTAGAGGTAGTAGTAGTAGTGGTAGTTTTGGTAGTAGTAGTAGTAGTAGTGTTGGTAGTGTACCTTAATGCGAATCTCGTTGGCTTTCTCGTGCGCTTCCTGCAGAATAAAGTTCACCATCTGCTTAATCTGTCGGTCCGCATCGCTCGCGTTCATTTCGCCCCTTTGGCTCTCCTCCGCAATGCGCTTTTCGAGCGAATGCGGTACAACAAACGGCCCGACGTGCGCCCTCTGCTCTCTTCGCGAGAGATCCTTCGCGAGCGTTCGTACTTGATCGAATACCGCCGACGCCCACTCGATTGGCCAATCCCGCGGCAGCATTTCACCGCACCAAACTGCTCGAGGCGCTCCCGGACATGAACGTCGCTTCGACTCGCGCCAGCGCGGCAGCGCGTCGCGGCTTCCACCGTCAGACGCAGCGCTTCGTGGCTACAGAGGCAGACGCCCGCAACAGCGCGTTGCCGCAAGGCGTGTCGAAAGAGCAGGCGCGAAAGGCGCGCGAACGCCATGCAGCCATTCTCGCGGCCCATCATACCGCCACGAGCGCCTTCCGCGCGTCGAGTCAGGGCGAGCACGAGATCGACGCAGACGAGGCGAACCGCAAGCGCGTCATCTACCGCAGCAAGCAACGCGGCTGGCTGGAGGTGGACCTGCTGCTTGGCCGCTGGGCCAGTCAAAATGTCATGCAGCTCTCGAGTGAGGAGCTGCAGCAGTACGAGGACATTCTGAACGAGGAGACGATCGACATTTTCAACTACATCTCTGGCAAGGATCCAGTCGTGCCTGCGAGGCTCGACACGTCTATGATGAAGAGATTGCAGGCGTACTGTCTCTCGTCGCCCTTGGGCAAGGCGTCAATCGAGGCCTTTGCAGCGAACAAGCAGTTCATGAGCAACTAGAGAGGAGGACAGGCAATGGCAAACACGTCGCGGAAACCGTTCCGTGCATGACACGTTTTCGAGGGGTTGCGCTCTGTCGTAGGAGATTGTTGCAGCGTTGGAATGGCTACAGTACAGTTCTGTTTGGCGCTAGCGATTGGACGACGTCGATTTACGCAGCTGTAGGAGGAAATGAAAACACCGGGCCGGCACGAGATAGACCAACATGTTTCGTGACGTTCGTTGCAACAGTGAACAGCTTTCTTGGAATGCGAAGGTCTCATGAAAGAGAACGGATGATCGCTTGTTGCAAAATGGCATGTTCTGGCTCTTGGTTGCTGACGTAGTAAGGCGTGTCCGTCCGTCGACTTTTGCGCTCGCGACATTCGTCTTATCAGCAACCAAGAGCCAGAACGTGCCATTATGCAGCAATACATCATTTCTTTCGTATCACTAAGTCTTCGCATTATAAGAATGTCGTGAACGCCAAAGTCGACGAACACATTCGCACGTCCACGTACCAGTACATCAATACCTCAGTTTGTGTGCATTTACGACTTCCTGGTACAAAAGGTCTGTTGCACGAGCTAACACATGGAAGACGAAAGATGACCAGCAAAAAGTCATGCGTCTCACAGCCGCTTCTTCAGCAGGCTCATCGACGTGGCACTTCGCATCCTTCCGAGCTCGCCAGCATAGAATGACCTGGTTGAGCCGCGTGTGCAGTAGCTTGTACATTGCGTAGTGCCGCCTCATCCCATCCAGATCATCGCAATTACATCCACGATCTTGTCGAATCCAAACACCAAAGTAGACCTTCAAGCTTCAGAGTTTCCACGTGTCAAATGCCTAGTCTAGCGTCCGTGGATTTCGTCTACATCGTCGATGTTGTAAGTTAAGTACCGGAAGGTAGAAGCGCCCTGATATTGACTGGACCGTGTTTTAGTGCCTCCTTGAGTCTTCAAACATGCCCTGACATGTCACACTCACATCACTTTAAACGCGCGACTCATGCTGTTGCCGCTGCATCCTACTTCAGCGATCGAACAAATCGGCTCTCGTATAGTCAATGACGTTGTGCAGCCACTCTAGAGCGCAGCGCACACTTGCTCGAAGACGCAGACAACAGTGTCGAAACAGCTCTTCGCCCTTCGATTGCATGTTGCAAGGCACGCGTGATAGCACCTGACTCTGGCGGACGCGTAACTCCCCACTACATCTTATGCAATGACAGTGCAGTTGTAGTCGACGTCGCCGTTTTTTTTTAACGACCGTGATCCGATGTTCTCAGCAGGTCTAGATGGGACCCCTAGCTTCTCTACCGAGAGACTTCAAGTATAGGAGTGCTGGGAGTCATCAAATACAACATTGGCGTGTGCTTTGTTGCATCGAGTCATCGAATCGAACATTGCAATCTGGGTTAGATGCAGCGTGACGCACGCTAATAGTAAACGGTGAGTCTTCGTAGATACCAAGCTATAGTCACGAGCCAAACCGCACTTCTCTTTGGTGTGCAGTGACCCTAGTATAAATATCTCACACAGCGATACATGGCTTCGCCTGGATTGCACCATGATATCTGCACGCTGCGGGTCGTTTTGTCGTATCGTAAATGCTATAGTCACTTCAGGTGTGGCTGGTGCCTGCCTGTCGAGTCAGCCAGCGTCCAAACGTATACTGAATAACCTGTGGCTTATCATCCATGGTAGCTGACTGCAACCGGCAAGGAAGAGAAAAGTGTAAGCACTTCAATGGAAACCCGTTCCGTTTACTTGCAGACGCGAACCAAAGCGAGTTTCTCCACAAGAGCGAACCCCCTCTCCCGCAACCTCTGTAGACTTCGGTCAAACTGCTGCCTTCCGTGGCAAAAAAAGAAAACACAAGTACACACGGTTTGCCGCACGACGTCGTCAATAAAACAGCTATTTAACTCATGCAACTTTATCGTATTGGAGACCAACTTGAGCCAATTGCCTCGATCATTCACTTACACCAAACGATTTACCTCTGGCGATCACTTACGTACAAAGTTGTTTTGACGCTGCCGCAGCCGCAGGTTCTTTTCGTGGCCCTCTGTCATAACTTGTGTGGGCTTCAAAGCATCTGTGAGTTTCTACGTAATAGCAACCATTATCGACGAGAAAAAAGTACGAGATCCAACACTTGACGCAAGTTGCGACTACAAGTACAAGGACGCCGTATGACACTGCTCATTCGAGCGGGAGAAAGTGACGATGATTGCTACATACCACGCGACCAATGAGACGGGAGAGCGCAACAGCAACACTAATGGCAAACTCACGACTTTAATATTCCGATGCTAAGTCCAGAAGATATCTCGATAGGCAGTCGAATGTTTAGCACGGTGCTACCGAGTAGTCAGACATGTCAATAATTCCGGGAATTGAACTAAAGGTTTATAGTTCATCCTTTATTTTCGCAGCATAACCTCGACATTAGCAGTCAATCTACATTTTTATCAATGACTCGTGCAATTACCCAACCTCTTCTATTTCTAGATAGTATGAATTTACATGATTCAGCGAGAACCACTCACGGGTAACGTGTCAGATAATGGGTCTACGTGCGATGATTAAAGTCCGACGGTCTGCCGAAAGACGTGTTCACGGTCTCCAAGTATAAGTCAGAGGTTGCACGCAATGCGGCAACTAAATGTTGGGGGTAGCGTAAGGTAGCTGAGCATTCTCATCCTCTTACACGTCACGTCGTCAAGAGTGTCCTCTTTAGCTCAATGTCACTACCCGTTAGCTATCTGGATGAGCAGCTTACGACTTTACTTTTTGCCTTGTCCACGATGCTCCGTATATTCACGAGAATAATGCGAGTTCCACCGACGGCCATTACAGCATACAAGTCGATAATATCTGGTCAGTAGCGGTAGTACATGCTCGCCGCTCGCGTCGCCCATAGACGCTATGCGTTGTCGCCATTGTCGTCGCTTCTTGCCTTGTGCTTTCGCTGAAATGTGTATGTCAGACCATCCCCCGCCAATTCGGAATGGGCATGCATTAAGGAAGACGACGATCACAAGAGTATCCGGGGAAGTGACACCAACAACGTGGACATGATCAGCAGAGCTGGTACGCTTGCGGTGCATTATCTGCCTAGATCCTTGACTCAGCCTATGGGGAGGAAACATTCGTCTAGCTCAGAGCGCACTTAGAATGCCGTAGTCAATGCAGAGGTGTCGTCAAGCATATGCGAGATAGATCGTTTGCAGAAGAAGAGCGCAGTGAGAATTCTTGCTGAAGTTATAAAGAGAAAGACGTGTGGCGACAAGTGTGCTTTGGCTCTTGACAATGCGCGAAGGTGTTACGAGATGAGCGAACAGCATCTCCTTGGTGCTATATTGACGGCCGATCGATGCGATTTACTTGTTCGTTGTGACCAAGTGGTGTGTTCCTAGGACGTTGAGATGTTGATGCCCAAAGTAGCGAGCAACGCCTGGTAGGGACATATTCATTCGTGTCTGAATGGAACATGATGCGCATGAGCATGTCGAGCAAGATGGTCTAGACCTGGGACTTATGTTTATGTGTACATTAATGGTAGTTCGGAGTTGCATGAACATGATCACGACGAAAAAGGCTGCTGCTAAATGCTGCTCGGCTATTCGGACAGGCCAATTAGGAAGTCACATCACTGCGCGCAGTATTGACGATGTGTACGTCTACGGCATGCGCGACCAAGTTTAATAGCTGATGAGAATTTGGATGTGCACTATTCAGAGACTACGGCGGTGTGACGCAGCGATGTAAGTATGCTGGTGTTACGTGGGACGAATATGACGCCAGGAAGCCACGGTTGTAGCGAAAAGAGTTAATTAAAGAGCTACTGGTATGCTGTGTCCCATTTTTGAGGCTTTCCGAGACGCAGCGATGTTGCATAAGATACAAGGCAATCAGGCTAGTTGTGACGCCGAGAAGCAGATGATGATGCGATTTTCCGTGGTAGCAGGACATGTGTGTTGTCAAATGACTTGCCGCGAAAGAAGCGCCAGCAACACAAGGACAGGTACGACCATCAGCAAGGTGTATCGCACAGCTAGGTGCTCACGATGACATGACGATCGCTTTGTACGCTAATGCGTCGAATGGATCTGGTGGCTAATGTCAAAGCGTCGTACGGAGGTATCTGTGAGCTTTTTGAGTGGAATTTATACAAAGTCCATGCTTTCGTTGACTGTTGGCGTGCTTTGCTTGCCACCACTGATTTCGACTCACGGAATGCGGTACCATGCAGCGATGTTGACTCTTTTAGTACTCATGTGTGATGGTTTCACGCATGCTTGCACTGAGGACTGAGCTATATGCCGAACTGCACTTGTTCTGATATTGAGTTGTTGGTAAGTGAAAATGATGATGCCCGTGTCCGACTTGCATTACACACGAGGCCCGACATTTGAGATACCGTTTGGCATGTAGACGCTACATCTATAATCGCTTGGGTACCTTCGTACCTAGAACTTTGGTGGAGCTGACAACCGCGTAGCTCCTTTGCTTTTGCTCTCTACGCTATCAAGTACTTGTTTTCCCGTCACCGCAGTATTGATTTACGTACACATAGCTGGGCTAGTTTTTTTGCACCCTACTTCATCCAGCATTGTCGATCATTTTTACTGGCAGCGACGTATCCTTTTCTGACGATGGTTCCGATATCTGGGTGTAAACTGGAAATCTGTACGCATTCTGCAGGTCGTCAATGTATGGCTCTGCACATTACCAACGCTTCTGTCACGTCCACTCAATTTTAGGGCTTTCGCCGGCTTTGTTGTTGTTGAAGATGTGCAAACCCGCCTTAACCAGACGACAATGTAGCAGTTCACCGATTCCGCAATGAAAGTTATTATTATTAACTGATTTTTTGTTCGATCGCGGCTGCGCGCACAACTTTGCTGATTCAGACCGCAATAAAAGTCGAGCAAATGAGGTCATGAAAGCTCAAAGTTAATGGTACGGATTCATGTACGCAAAAGACCGATGTACGTGGCGATTGCTAGGATTACAAATATTTCTCTTGTGGTGTAAATCTGCCGGTTGCAATACTTGCTTACCCGCTGATCGTTCAGTTAAACGAAGCAGCGTTAGGTTGGATGCAGCGTCGCCTGTTTCGAAAAGAATGTACAATATCGGAATTGCAATACAACCGAACGGATCTCAAGCTCACAAAAAATGACATAGTGTTGCGTGCAAAATCACGCAAGCGAAACTTAGTTGTGGTGTCGCGCAGAATTACCCTAGCATGAGTGCTTCGACAAATTTTGGACAACAACAAAATTCTTGTTCGAAAGCACCCGATCTTCTCATAAAAACATCGAGATCTTTGATTGTGACGAATAGACGTATATAAGCAACATATTGTCGTACACCTTTGATGAAAGATTGCCCGAAATAGACAACGATCGATCGTGGCATCAACACGATCAACGGAGGAAATGCCTGTGAAGACTATGATAGAGAGCTGACCCCCGCTTCGTTTACCGATTACACGCCATTCCCTTACAGTTTGCATTCTACTCTTTTGCGTATCTTGTCTCGGAAACATACAGATTCGTCATCTTCCTTTACAATACAACGGTAGTGCTGGCGATTCGTTTTATCCACTTATTTACGATATATGGATCCATTTGTAATCCAAGCAAACGAGCCCACATATTTTACAATAGTTGTGAATTCGCTCTGCACTCACGGGTTGAGCTTCTAAAAATCAGTAAAAAGGCCGTTATTGACATTTCGTGGATGAAAAAACGAGGCCACTACTTCATGTTAAGCAAACATCAGCGTCACTTTCATTCAGTACAATATTTAGGATCTGTTCGATGAATCTGATAAATACTTTCATCAACGAGGCGGTCTACGGACGATACATCTTGGGAGCTAAGAGGAACATCGATTTATGGTATAGAAGATCGAGCTTCAAGTGCGATTCATTTGATCATTATAGTTCTTGAATAGGAGAGTAATCGAAACTTCGAAAATGTTAAAAGTGTCAAGCGCGCAACCTCACGCTGTAACTGTTATGACAAATTTGACGCTATTCAACTGCGTATGATCGAAGTTCGCAGACAATTACAAACCTGAGGCTGATGTCCCCTGACGCAACAAAGGATGGCTTGCGATACTTGGTAGCAGGTGATGTACTCGATTTAGTCTCATCCTATGTTGATTGTCTTGCCTTATATACCTAAAGCGCATCTGATTTTATTATCCGCGCAGATTTTCAATACGGAAACATGCTCTCTTTGTCGCTCTTGCTGGAGCTCTGACTACAGTGATTAAGCTGTTAATCTTGATGCTGCAAGCTTGTACGTGACCGACGCGATGAAGAAGTTGCATCCAGATGGCAATTCAATAACAAGCTCGTATATCGTGTATCGCGACGACATTTTGACTTAGGAATCCATGACATCTTCAGCTCATTTACTCAATTGCATACCTTACTTTTTCCATGCAATCTTGCACTGCCACCTTTGCGAGATATGTTTGACACCTTGCATGACTTTCGATACATATCAATACCATTGCACCCTTCCTCAATAAAGCTTTTTTTGCTCTTACATCCACAACACCAACCTTGTCTTTTCTTACACAGTGCTGAATAAACACGGCATGGCACATTAGTCAAACAGAACCATTGTCCTTATAATTGCTTGCCTTATTCTTACATCGCATGTGCAACAAAAGCAACATCTTCACTTTAGCATGCTCTACGCAATAAAGCGCACGTTAGTTTATACATCAAAGAAAATGAAGATGTGGATCGGTCCACGGCATGGTCAGTCGAAATGTATTCAACGATAGCTTGACAAAGCTACATGCAAAACTTGTGTGTCACTATCCCCACTGTCGACTGCCCCCACATGCTACGTACTGTAGACGTATCAGGGTAGGCGCGTGACGGCTCTACGTCTTGAACGCCAACGATTCTTGCGGTCGCGCTATAGTCACGTGTTGGCTCCATCCGTTACCTGTCTTCAAGCATTCTCCTTCTAAACGAGCTGTTTCTCACTCCTTCTCCCTCTGAACGAACGATCAAGATCTTTAGCCTGGGTAGTAAGATGGTTCATCAGCGATTTCGCCATGTCATCACTATAATGAGCATGTTTACCCTGATAATCAGCGATGTATTGCTGCACTAACCCGAGTTCATGATTTAACCGTTTCGTCGCTGTTTTCTTATCTTGCGCACCGGCAATCTTCAAATACTTTTCGCTTCCTCCAGAAAGCAAGATGTTATTAACAACTATTTCTGGGGCCAAGTCCAACTCTAGCCACAAAGTTGGCTCCTGAAGCTTTATCCGAAACCGATCAGCCAGAGCTCTCTGCAAGCCGTCAGCGTGCTTCTCCATGCCAGATATACCCCGAAGCGAATGAAATGCTTTCATCAATTCTGTCGGCTGTACACGAGGCAAGTTATTCCCGCCTTCCTTTCCAGTGTTTGTCAGGTACGTAACTACTTCATAATAGTCCCAACGGTGGTCCGAAGTTTTTAACTTCTGGCCAAGCAGCTGCACAAACTCGTCTAGGTGGAGTATCGTTTCATCACGGACGAGCCCTCCCTTTGTCATTTGCGCGACGACGCTCTTGACCATCCTTCCAGTCTTTGTAGGCATGATGTTCCGGACAATCCCTCCCAACTTGTGAATGAAGTCCGAAAACAGTGAAGATGGCACTGTCTTCTCTTCGTCGTCCTGTAATTCGAGCTTGGTCATGTTGAACACGGAGCCGTGGGGTGTCAAAGGCCTCAACGCAATGGAAGAAGGTGTCTTCGTCGTTCGCGGAGGACTGGAGGTCGCAGTGAGATCGGTAACGCTGATGTGGTTACTGTCTTCGTCAAGTTGCTGAGCCGTTCCCCACGCATGCAGGATAAGAGCTGTGAGCACGTGGCACAGCCACCGCATCGTGAAAATCAATGGCGGATGTTCAGCGAAGGGAGACAGAAGCTGCTATTCTGATTGGCTATTAGGCAGCTCTTCTAAATAAAACTGCACCTGTATTACAATTTAAGGAGATTACAAGATGAGCATATTATATATGTTATCTATACCATATCAAGAAAGTATTGCTAATGCTACCCACGGTCATGAAAATGAATAGGCCACGACAAAAGGCACAACCCGATTTTGCTTGGGGCACACTCCATTTTTGCTACGGGCACACCCGCCCTCCTAATATGATAAAAAGGGCTTCACGTTTTATACTGCAGAATATTATGTAAAACAGTAGTCACTGATTACTGCTTCCTATCTCCCAACCTCATACGGCAGATCCACTCTTGCACGAGAAATTATCAATACATTGTGACCAGGGCGGTATCCAAACGAGCAATGTCTGCTGGAATCTTTACTGTCTCGAACACGATAATCAATCCGATGGTACAATGCCGAGTGACCTGACCATCGGCAGTGGCAACGACTCGTTTTTTTCGACGTTTTAGCCGAGACAGGCACGGGCAAACACATACGGCTTTCAGCATGTGTAGAATTTGAGGCTACCATCTGTGACGAGGTACGTGCCGGTACATACCGTTAAATGTCACACTTTGGGCAAATCATTTCAGGTAAGAAGATGCAAAAACAATTACGCACGAAGTATTTCATCAACATGCTGGAATTCTGTCGCTTCCTTTCACCGTCGCTGAGGTTATGACTGTTCTATAGGTCCCGCCACGATCGCACTTGTAGTAGACCAGTTGCAGACCCCGCTTCGTTTTCTTTGATCTGGCGACGATGATGGCATACCCTTGATATCTGCAAAACCGTTTGAAGTTGTTTCCATTTCGTTCCTGGCAAGAAACCTGGTACCATTGAGAGCGGCAGGTCGTGGTTGAAGCTAATCTAGCGACGGTTGCCCCTCTCTTGGGACTTCGTACGCCGTTTTGGGAGTTTAGCTGGCGCGTGTCTGATTATCCGGTGTTGTCAGTCGTATTGTATGATTATGAGAATGAGAAGACATAGACGCGATTGCGCGGCCAGACGGGTGTTAAAGACATGTTCTTCTTCTTTTGCAGTAGATGGAATTCACGTCATTGACGGCCAGATCCCCGGGACGAACACTTTCAGCAATTCGGTTGGGTGCTTCTACATTCAGCTGTACTGACCCGTACACGCACATTATTCTGCAGTATATAATATGAAGTTTATGTATCATTTTAGGCGGGACGGTGTGCCCGTAGCAAAAATGGAGTGTGCCCCTAATAAAAGTGGGGTGTGCCCTCTGTCGTGGCCATTGGAACACGCGCTGCAAAAAATTGCACCAAATCCTTAAATAAAAATTAAAATTAAAATTAAAATTAATTTTAAATATAATATATAATTGGTGTCATTTGTTGACCTCAAACGAAGATTACCATAATATGTATCATATGTATATATAGATATTGATGTGGCAGTCAGCATGCATCCAAATTCTAATTATATAATCATGTTGGAGCAGTTACGGTGGTCTAGTTGTGTCAGCTTTTTTAATTCCTTAGACCACTAAGATTTTGTCAAGAAGACCCTGGATCAGCTAAAAGTTTGCCTCTTATTGGGGACGTTCTGATATGCGATTTACCAATATCTTGTTATCGTGAAGCCTACGATGCCAAGAGTGTAGTATAAAAGGGTGTCAGTATCTGTGATCACATATGTAATGCACATAAAAAACTATGTTGATTTGTACATGCATGCCGAATTCTGCATACAGCAACATTGCCTTCAGTCTCGTAGGTTCCGGGTGGCAAGGTTCGCATCAACGCGACCATCACAACATTAATCGGAGTAGCTTGATAATTGATTTTGACAGTGTATATTGATATTTTCTACATTGCCTACCTGATGATGTTTCGCATCGTCCGCTCTTTAATAATAGCCAAATGTTTGGCTTAGTTTTACAAAAAACAACAGAAACACGCAAGAATAAATGGTAAGAGAGAAAGACCCCACACAAATGTGATTAAGATATATAACGAAATAAATTATATACAATTATGTGAGTTTGTGGGCCAAATGTTCTACTAACTTTCCTCATACTCAATCTTTTGTTTCTTTACAAACATATACCCAAAAGAGTTTATAGCGTTGGTAGCCTCATAGAGTGTGCTTAAGGTCCAAGTCACCTACTATTATAAACCGCTTCGCACCTTCATTTTGAGGTATTTTCAAAGTATATTAATTACATAAGCATATCTGAAAATATATATAGCATGTCAGATAAGATATATCCTATCGTACCCGCCCCGTTGGGTAATATATTGCATTGGCAACTTACAAGAAGTAATTCATTCAAATACGCGTATTTACCTCGTAAGTTTGCTATCTAACATAAAATAATAGTGACCTGCAAAGCATCCCTTCCTTTTAAACTTAAAAGGAAATGCAAGATCATCGTTTGATAATGATTTTGTGTCCGGACCTCATGGCGTAAAAATTATCAAAGTTCGTTTCATCTAGTCCGTCTTTTCTATCAACAATGGTATATATTTAAGATGTCGTTAGCAACCGTCCTTGATAGTAAATTCAATAAACCCGCCAGCAGGTCACGGTTCAATAAAATTTTTGCTCACGTGTTTTCTACATTCATATTGGGTGATAAATTTACTATCACGCTACCCGTACCGGCTTCCTTATTTGTAATATCTATGTTGATTTATTCAAATGCCAACTTTAAGCATGGGTGGGCTAGTCGAGAACGCCATTCTACTCGCTCCTTAGCTAACACATAGCATAAGTAAATACACTTTGATCTCAACATGTATAACATGACGATCCCCTCTCTATGCTTCAACAATTAAAGGCATGGATATTTGGTCTTAAATAGTGATCGTGTAGGTATTTAAAAGAAAATAGCACTTTCTTTGCCAGGCCGACACGTCTGCATGCATATAAAGCCCACAATAAAATTTTGAACTTGCGTATAGTACGTAATAATTTTTTTAACTATCATGATGAAATTAATTGACATTCTCGCACACAATTGCTTTTGCGCATCATGGTGACGAGCGTACAGCCTGTTATAATGAGCATCAACTAAAGCTGATTATATGTATTTCGGTATGTCTCACAAGTACAATATCCAATTTTTTGCGCTTTGACAGCTCCCTTTGTAGTAACTTTCAAGCGACTACTTATCGACGGTCACTGCGCGTAATTGATTTCCCTATCTCGTGTTTGGCAGATCGACAACGCAATCTTAAGCATATCCTTTTAGACCGTTAGTTAAACAAAAAATATATAGTGCAGATAACAGACCAAAAAATCATCCCATTGTTAGTAGGCCTACGATAGAAAATCGAACACCACCTAGATATTTACGGTAATTAAAAGCACAATTATGGACCGTTATGCGTCGTCTGATCAATATATTTACAGAACACTGCTAGACGTCCTACAAAAATAAATGTTTAACATGTTGTCCGCTCCGGCCAGTATTTCATTTAAAGATGTATGTGAATAAGTCTTTTATCGCCTACACGACCATTCGTTTTCACTCAGAGCTTCATGAAGGCCGCAATTTTTTTATGATATTCAGTAGCCAAATTGTTTACCAAGTATATAATAGATGAGTATTGTACCCTGGATTGTGAATGTTATATCCGAATGGTGGAGGATAAACGACATGATGCGATTTCGTAGTTGATGCCGTACCAGGCAATTTCACGTTGTCATATGACACCATCTGATGCCTTTACGGAGTGGTTGTAAAACTCGTTAAGGGTGTATATATATGCATTATTATCAGAGCAGTCCTTTTTCTTTGTTCTCCCTAAATATTTCGTTACAACGATTGCTGAATACACGTGACGCTAAAACACATGTAAGTGCAAGCCTTTAATCGGGTACCTGGAAGTACACCTTGAATTTAGATACTATCAAGCATTGTTTCGGATCTAAATATTAAAAAAAACTTCTTTCATTGTTCTGGATGTTTTAAATGTCAACCGTCAGACTTTTTTGCGCCTCCGCGATATTTTCCGAAGTCAAAGTACGAAACAAGAATGATGTGTAATGGCTAAGTGAGACGACGTTTAAGGTACGGGTCTTTCATTTTGCGTTGAAGCTGGCGGCTTTGCGATAATTTCTATAACTGATACGTCCACTTGGAATAAATGTGTATTAATTGAACTGTCATACTTGCGAGTGACTATGCAATAGATTTCATAATTGTAGTGAATGCGAGTATCAGAAGTCGCATCGACCTTCATGCAAAAGTAAATACACCAAAAAAGATCACTTTTCCGCAGTTGGGCTGGCAAAAAATTAGACATAAATAGTTTATGCTTGTCGAGATGCTTGTGTCTGTATTTACACATAGGCAGCCTGTAAATGTATGTTTATTATAGAATTTATTATCTGCAATGTTTTTCGAATTATGATAACATTCTTCTTTCATACATTTTGTGATAACTTAGTATGGCATTATTGGTGATGGCTTTTTTTGAAGAATCAAACCACAGACAATTGAATATACACTGCAACGACGCTGATAGCCGCGTCATTCATCTTTCATACGTTTAATGGTAACTGAACAATGAATTATTTACAATGGCTATGTTTATAGGTACAAACCACAGACTATCGGATATACACTGCAACGACGCCTACAGTCGCGCCTGCTTTAATTAACGGACATTATAAACGGCTAGAGAACACTTTTAGCAATATATCATTTTTCAGAATTTATGATATTGAGATCATAATCGGGAAGTCAATCCTTTGAACGCTTTATCTGTCCACCAAATTATACCATGTAATGTGTAAGACTGTTAATAATATTATACACAAATACATATTCATTATGGCATTTGGGCGGTTGTGATGAAGTCATTTCAATTATATGACTGCTATATTCCGCACGACTTAAAACCTTTTCCAGGGCATTCCGGTTGTACAATCTCTATACTGGTGCATGGACGGGCAAT